GCTGTCGTCGCCGCCACCTCCGCCGCCATCGGTGACTGACTTTCTCGATGGCATGGACGTCGACGGAAAGTTGGCCACCAGTGAAGAGGAGGTAGGCATCCTGGCAGTGGTGCACTCGCTGGTGCCTGCCACTCAAACAGCTGCTGCTAAATGAACAATTGTCAAGTAGCAAGTGGCTGCTGCTGCTGTTGCTGGTGCTGCTCATCAGCCTGGTGCATTCTCTGATTCTGCTGCCTCAGCGTCAGCATCAGTGAAAAGTGTTGGTAGTGCTGGTAGTGCTGGGGTGGTGGTGGTGGTGTGCTGCTACTTCAGCCGATGATGATGATGGTGATGATGATGTTGTGAGTGAAAATATTAGCGCAAATAATAAAACCGTGTCTGCCGCCGTCTGGTTCCGTTTGCTGTCTGGTGGCCCACAGCGTCTACCAGCCGGCGAACATGTTAAATGCACATCGAGTTAGAACGGCAACGGCAACGGCAGCGGTGCAAAAGCAGCGGTGCAAGCACATGGACCACTTGGCAAGTTCTGTCTTCATTGCCGGAGACGATGGCACTTTTTATAGCCAGGCAGGCAGCCAGTTCTCTGCCGCCACTGCTGCTAGACACCAATTGGGTACCAAACAGTGTGTGTGTCTCGGAACGCACTTGTCTAACTGAAAGAACCTTTCTCTCTCGCTTTCTTTCTCTTTTCTACGTTTTCTCTCGCTGTTGCGCTATATACCAGGCGCATCCAGCCCGCACAATTGGCGGCAATTGCAGCGTTTTCATTGCAGTCTGAATCTCACCCTGCTCACTCCTTTCAAACTCATTCAGACTCACACACACATTTTCGTTGGAGGGTAATTAACGCAACACTGCCTTGCTGATCGAGGGCACACACAAGCTACAGAGTCAGACAGAGAGTCAGACAGAGAGTCAGGCAGAGAAATAGACAATTAACTTGGAGCAACCAGAGAATGTACCAGACTGAATGAATGACTGAATGGAATGACTGACTGGATGACTGAATGAATGTGTGCACGCAAAAGTGCACATCGGTGGCGGTGCTGGTGTTGCTGCTACTGCTGATGGCCAGTGCCCAGTCTGTGTTCCACTGTAGGATTGTGTTCCATTCTATTTTCCGCAAATTCTATTCTTCTTTCATGACGACGTCCGGTGGCGGCGGTGGAAGTGGAGAACAGCGACCAGGCCGCCGGCAATTGACGACGGCAAATTGCTCTTCTCTGCTTTTTCTTCCACTCATTCTTTTCCTTCGCGGCAAAAGCTTTTGAAAATGGTCATTAGCCGTTGTTGTTGCTGCTGCCCAACTTTGCAATGCCAATCATTGGTGCTGCCAATTGGCCACAGATGACGACACTCTATTGGCCGATTTATTTTCCTTTTAAAAGACACTTCTTCACTGTTGCTGCTGCTGCTTCTGTGTAGTCTGTACGTGGCTTAGCTTAGACTGCGCAATCTGCCAGTGTTTATTTACTCTTCAGCTGGTAAACACTAACTTTTTTTGTTATTCAAAAAAAATATACACTAAAGGTAGAATAGTGCGCGCATAAAGAACCTGGTTTGGGTTTTTTCCCCTGGGGCCAATGACGCTGCGGCGTTCGTCAACCTTTCTGTGATTACCACTGCAAATAACAGAGTGCCTTGGCTGTGTGTGTGTCTCTTCCAAATGAATTTACCCAAACATAATCCTGAAGATGATGATCCTCTACTCCGTTTCCTCTTCTTTATTTCACTGCCTTCTTCCTGTGCATTCTACAGGTGTCTCTAGGAGCACTTCTCATGTACTCCTTAGCATCAGTGCCTTTCTGTGCCTTCTTTGCCATTCCACGGCGGCGTTTTCATCGTCTTCCACACTAGCACAAGCACTTTTTGAGAAATCTAGTAAATGATGTGCTTGCTTTTTTGTTACTTTTTTCATTGTTTTACATTTTTTTCACTACTAGGTCACTATGATAAGCTGTTTCGACAGTTTAGTGAGGCTGAGAAGGCAGAGATGAAGGAACTCTCACGGGAGACCTTCAACTGGGGCTACTCAAATTACATCAAGCACGCCTACCCTGCTGATGAGCTGAATCCTATTTGGTGTCGAGGTCGAGGACCAGATCTGGCGGACCGGTAGGTGGTTGTGGTTGACCTACAGTTGAGCTACAATCTTTTATTCATGTCAACTTTTTTGCCTGTAGCTCAAACATCAACATCAACGACGTCCTGGGCAACTTCAGCCTGACGATGGTGGACGCGCTGGATGCGCACTACGTGATGGGCAACTTTACCGAGTTTAAGCGCGCCGTGCAGCTGGTGATCAAGAACGTCAGCTTCAATTCGGACTCTATCATTCAGGTCTTTGAGGTAATCTCAGTTTTTAGAATCAGCCAAAAATTCGATCATTTTCACCAGTCATCTAAAACGTTTCCTCCAGGCGACGATTCGCGTCATCGGCGGCCTCCTCTCCGCCCACCTTCTCCTCACCGATCCTCGGTACTCGCCACCGCTGCTGCAGCTGGTGGAGAACACCACTGAAACCACCACCACGAACTGGTACCACGACGAGCTGCTGTACCTGGCCCGGGACCTCGGCCTGCGCCTGCTGCCCGCCTTCAACTCCACCTCGGGCATTCCCTATCCACGGGTGCACCTGCAGCACGGCGTGCCCAACACCACCGTCTGTCCCTTCTGTCGGACGGAGACAAATCCAGCGGGGGCCGGCTCGCTCCTGCTCGAGTTCGGCATTCTCAGCCGCCTGCTGCAGGATTCTCGGTTTGAGGAGGCGGCGGAGAAGGTATTCGAAAACTTGTTGATGTTCTAAAAGCTCAAAATCAACTCATGCATTTTATTGAAGGCAGTGCAGTCGGTGTGGGGGCGGCGCTCCAAGATTGGCCTCCTCGGCAACGCCATCGACGTGGAGAGCACCGAGTGGCTGGGCGAGATTTCAGGCGTCGGCGCCGGCAGCGACAGCTTCTACGAGTACCTCGTCAAGTCGTACATTCTTTTCGGTGACACGGCCTACCTGGAGATGTTCGAGCAGAGCTACGACCAGATACGGAAGTACCTGCGGAGGGGGCGGGAGCAGTGCAACTCGGGCACCGGTCCCTACCCCTACTACGCCAATGGGAACATGCACGACGGCCGAACGATGACCAACTGGATCGACTCGCTGTCCGCCGCCTGGCCGGGCATCCTCGTGCTGGCCGGCCAGAGCCTCGATGAGGCCATCTGCAATCACCTGATCTTCTTCGCCATCTGGGTCAAGTTTGGCCTCCTGCCGGAGCGCTTCGACCTGCACCGCCTGGAGCCGGTGCTTTCCTTCTACCCGCTGCGGCCGGAGCTGGCCGAGTCCACCTACCTGCTGTACCAGGCGACGAAGAATCCCTTCTACCTGCACGTTGGCCGCACCATGCTGCAGTCCATCAACAAGTACACACGATCAAAGTAAGAGAAATGGAACATTTTTGTTTAAACATTTTTTTTCAACTGTTTTTTCTTTCTTTCAAAATTTACAGTTGCGGATTCGCCACCGTACACGACGTGCAGGACAAGAGCCTCGAAGATCGGATGGAGTCCTTCTTTCTCAGTGAGACGTGCAAGTACCTCTACCTGGTCAGTGATAATGTAAATCTCTGTAAGTTCTAATTTTTTTCCACCCCCCAAACCTCAGCTCTTCGACGAGGACAACATCCTGAACCGAGACTCGTCGCGGTTCCTCTTCAGCACTCAGGGGCACATCTTTCCGCTGGATCAGCGACTTCGGCAGAGTGCCACCACTTCCGCCTCCAGCGAAATAGCAAAACTCAAAAGAGCTTCAGCACTCTCCTCCTCCTCCTCCTCCTCCTTTGCTCAGGCCAACTTCACCCGACTGCAGCCGTCCTGTAGACGGGTGTCCGAAGAGCGGCGGCACTTTCTTCCGCTGAAAAGTCAGTACTTTGCCCAACTGAGCCACGCAATCGGCATTGAGGGCTACTACTCTTTCTAGTCTTTCTTGTTGCTATTGTTATCTTTATCTCTACACACATTTATCTATGTTCCCTCTCTCGCTTTTTTTTACTAACGTGATTAAGCTTTTTACAAATGTGGTCAAATGTGTTAGTTAGACTGATTTTTCAATCCATTGTTTCTGTTCAGTCCAGCTAATAACGGTGCACTACTTGTTTGCACCACTCCTTTCTACTTCTTCTCTATTTCCATCGTTTTGAGGGTGGTGATCGTGAGCGAGAAAGCCGTCTAGAGGGAGGCGGACTTCGGGAGTATCGAGATTTTGAGGTGTAGTGGTGATGGGCGGATGATGAAGTGGATGAGGAGGTGGAGGAGTGCCGCAACCGAGGCGGCGACCTTGACCGTGATCGGGAACGTGTTCGACTGGTGCTGCTGCTGCTGGTGAAGGATCTCTGCTGGTCACTGTTAGCAGCTGCCGCCTTCCTCATCAACTCCTCGCGGTACTTCCCCACCATCCGGGCGAGCTCCTCGTCGGTGACCACCTTCAGACGACCACTTCGGCGGTCACTCTCTCGGTCGTCCTGGTACTCCATTACCTTCAGTTCAATTTCACGCAGCACCTCTCTGGAGAGGCTAACTGATGAGCTGCTGCTGGCTGTCAGAGTACTTGGCGGAGGCTCTAGAGGAGTGCTCGCAGAGGATGAGGAGGAGGAGGCTGACGCTTTGCCCTGCTCTGCTCTGCTGCCAATCGCTTCAAAGTAGTCCGGCTCATCGTCGTCCATTGGCTTGCCGTCAATGTCCTCGTCGGTGTAGATGGCCTCCTCCGCCGCCGCCGCAGCCGATGCCACCCTTTCCAGGTGCTCCCACTTTGAGGTGGTGATCGCCTGCGACTCGACCACCTCCGGATCGATGGTCTCCCACTTGGAGGGCTTGAATTTAGTGCTGACAAAGTTCTGTGAACTCCTCCTCGTCGCCGTCGTCTCCTGTGGGAAAGGAAGCTCCTCGCCATCCAAGTCAGGATCAAGTGGAATGCCGNTGCCGCAGCCGATGCCCTTTCCAGGTGCTCCCACTTTGAGGTGGTGATCGCCTGCGACTCGACCACCTCCGGATCGATCGTCTCCCACTTGGAGGGCTTGAATTTAGTGCTGACAAAGTTCTGCGAACTCGTCGTCGTCGTCGTCTCCTGTGGGAAAGGAAGCTCCTCGCCATCCAAATCAGGATCAAGTGGAATGCCGTCCAGTTCATCGTCAGTTCGAATGGCCTGTCCGAAGGCTGCTGCTTTTGTCACTTCGACTGCCTTCTTCTTCTTCTCCTTGTCCAGTCCGAGGAAGACGTTCTGCAGTTTAATGAGAAACTCCGAGGAGAAGATGGCCGTGTCCTCCCAGGCTCTGAAGCAGCTCATTACTCGTTGCTGGAAACAAGGGGAGAAAAACCCGATGTTAAACAAAGTGAAAAAGGGCAAAACTTTTACAAAAAAACCAACCTTAAACTGCTCGGCCTTCAGGCGGCCCTCGATGCCGGCGTACGCCCGGTGAAAGGCCTCAAAGATGGGCACCAGCTTTGCCTGCAGCCCCCGGCGGTAGTTGCTCGCATTGGCCACCTTCACCGTGCAGTTGTTGAGAATGTCGGAGATGAGGTAGAGCCGGGCCACCTTCTTGAAGAGCGGCGTCTCGGCGATGAACAGTGAGTCGGCGATGCACTCGATGATCTCCTCCCAGGCGTCGGCGTGCTCAATGCAGAAGACCATCAGGTGGGCGATCTTGGAGCGCTGCGGCGTCAGGCTGCGCAGCCAGTCCTCAAAGTCCTCCCGGTCCGCCTCTCGCAGGAGGCCCTTCTTTTGGCCGCCTCCGCTTTTGCCGCTACCGCCACCAGCTCCCGAATCACCGCCATCCGAATCAACGGTCCGACGATCACCAAAGTCGCTCTCAGGCGGCAGCAGCTCCTCGGGCATGCCCTGCAGGTACNACCTCCACTTTTGCCGCCACCACCAGCTCCCGAATCACCGCCATCCGAATCAACGGTCCGACGATCACCAAAGTCGCTCTCAGGCGGCAGCAGCTCCTCGGGCATGCCCTGCAGGTACAGGCTGATGGGCGGCGGCCTCCACAGAGAGCCGCCCTCAAACATGCGAAACTCCTCCAACTTCCAGCGACTGGGGTGGTCGCCCTGTAGAATAGAGAAGAGCCGCCAGCGGTAGTAGACGTGGTTCGGCGACTGGTTGTCGAAGAGAAAGGCAAAGAGCGGGTTGCTCGCCTCGCGCGCCATCAGCAGCGCCTCAAACATCGGCCCCTCGCGAACGACGAACTCCACGACGCGGTGAATGGTGGCCAGAACCGGGCGCTCCGTGGGCGTCACCACCTTGATCAGCGTCCGCGAGAGCAGGTCCTCGAAGGCGGCCTTGTCCTCGCGGTAGAGCCTCTTCGGGTCGCCGCCGTACTGCTGCAGAAAGGCGCGGTCCTTCTCGTCCACCAGCTGGGCGTTGAAGGGCAGGCCGGAGAGGGGCGGCGGGACGGTGAGCTCACGCAGCGCCGGCGGAACGTAGATCGGCGTCGCGGGAATGGGCACCGACTTGCCCCAGCCGAGGCGCATCTCAAAGTCGAGCACCGGGCGGCCGTTGATCGCCCGCATCGCCCGCTCGCCGTCCTTGCGACACATGAAGGCGACGAAGCCGCAGTTGCGATTGCGAGTTCGCTCTTCATCCGTCCGGGGCCACATGATCTTGACGGAGGCCAGCGGGCCGTACCGTCCGAAAACCTCGCAGAGCTGATCCTCCGTTAGCTTGGGGTTGAGATTGCCGAGGTAGATGTTGGTGGTGTTCGGGTCGCCGGTGTCATGGGAGCCAGCACCGGGCACTTTACTGCTGCTGCCGCCGCCGCTGAGGGCGGTGGTGCTGGTGGTGGTGCTACCGGTACGACTGATGTCCGATGCGGGATCATCATCGTAGAGCGTTGATTTGAATGGCTTCCCACCTGAACTGCCATCTTTGCCCGTTGTGCGCTGTCGAAGTCTAGCTTCGCGTTCTTTCTGCATCAGCTTCAGCTCCTCCTTGAAAGCCTCCAGGTTGCTCTTCTTCTTGACGTCGCCCTTCTTCTTTGGCGGNCCACCTGAACTGCCATCTTTGCCCGTTGTGCGCTGTCGAAGTCTAGCTTCGCGTTCTTTCTGCATCAGCTTCAGCTCCTCCTTGAAAGCCTCCAGGTTGCTCTTCTTCTTGACGTCGCCCTTCTTCTTTGGCGGCTTCTCATTGAACTTTGGATTGAAAGCAGCAGGCGGCTTTGTTGCTTTGTTGTCATCGTTTGGCCTGGCTTCGAACTGTTTCTGTTTCTTTTCCAGCTCCTGTAGTTTTTCCGGTTTGTAGAGTTTCCCCGTTTGTTTGGCGTCCAACTCCTCGCCGGAATTAGGATTGATGACATTTCCACGGACAAATAGCTTTCCCGTCGGCTTTGGTGCATCAAAGGTGGCGACAAACTGCTCGTACGCTTGTGCGGCGGCCTCCTCATCGGCCTGCTTCTTCTGCTTCTCAACTTCTTTTTTGTTCTTCACACCGAGAGAGAATGCTTTCACCTTTCCAAGGCTTTGTGCCATGTTTGCTGAAGGAACGTCATAAAAAAGAGGTATTGATGACTCAAAAATTCAATCCAAATTCTGGAAAATGAAGTTGAGCTAGAAGCAGATGATTTGTGCTGTCGCTGTTGTTTAAATAGTCCAAAACGTAAACAATCAAAATAGTCCGATTCCGCATGGTAAAAGTTCTGTGACATTCTTTAGTGATTCTTAAGTGTTTTTTCCCAATTCTCTTTAAGACCATGGCTCAAACTCACTTTTGGCATTCCGTACTTCTGTACATTTACAGACCTAATCTAATAAACCGGCGGTTTATTGGAACGCAAACTGTTAACTCGTGGCAAGTTGATGATGAAAATGTTGACCTGTCATCATTTGAAAAGGCATCAACCTGGACAAATACCACTCTTGACAGGTTAATCAATCGCTTCAAGTTATCTTCCCATCCGGGAACAATTGAAGAAGATGATTTGCAACACATGACACGACCAATTTTACTACTTCGCAAACTGTTTCCAAAGCAGTCTATCAAAAAGTTGAAGCAGAACGCTGCTGATTCGCCTAGCCAAAGTAACACGGTTGAGTTTGAAGTGGTCATATTGATTCCTCAAAAGAATTACTTTGCCCTGATAGCAGTTAATTTTGATGAGACACTGCAGAGTATCCAACTCAAACAATCATCACTATCTTACGAGATTGGCCTACATCTAAAATCTACAGAAGAGAACAGCCCTGATGATGATGATCTTCAGCTGTTTCATCGGTATTTATTTGATCACCCTTTAAATTACTGGATGGAAAACGTGCTCAAACCCAAACTGCAGAAATGGATGCTAGACGCACTTGAACCAAAGACTGACAGCAGCTTCCAGGGCTCAATTAAAATGATCTCAGTGGAGAAGTTCTGCGAAAACTACAACCGAATGAAGGCAAAGTACAGCGTCCCACTGCTGGACCTTTGGAGCAAAGTCGAGAAGNAAAGACTGACAGCAGCTTCCAGGGCTCAATTAAAATGATCTCAGTGGAGAAGTTCTGCGAAAACTACAACCGAATGAAGGCAAAGTACAGCGTCCCACTGCTGGACCTTTGGAGCAAAGTCGAGAAGACTGACCCGCTGAAGTTCATCTTTGAGGACATCTCCATTGCCGCCTACCTGGTCACCCTGTGGGAGGAGGAACGGGCAAAGCAGTTGACGGCAACAACGGAAGCAAAAGTCGCACAAAACGCCAAACAGTCCTTCATCGACATTGGCTGCGGCAATGGCCTGCTGGTGTACATCCTGGCCGGCGAAGGCTACACCGGCTACGGCGTCGACCTGNGACTGACCCGCTGAAGTTCATCTTTGAGGACATCTCCATTGCCGCCTACCTGGTCACCCTGTGGGAGGAGGAACGGGCAAAGCAGTTGACGGCAACAACGGAAGCAAAAGTCGCACAAAACGCCAAACAGTCCTTCATCGACATTGGCTGCGGCAATGGCCTGCTGGTGTACATCCTGGCCGGCGAAGGCTACACCGGCTACGGCGTCGACCTGCGGAGGCGCAACATTTGGGAGCACTTCAGCCCACAGGCGACGCTCATCGAGATGACCATTGACCCGTTTGATGAGGCGAATCTGACCACCACCTTGCCGCAGGTCGACTGGATGATTGGCAATCACTCGGACGAGCTGACGCCCTGGATTCTCTTCATGGCCGCCTGCGCCTCGCCCACCACTCGTGCCTTCATCCTGCCCTGCTGCCCCTTTGACTTTCACGGGCACAAGTTTCAGCACCGAGCGGTGAGCGGAGATCGAGAGAAGAAGAAGAGCCAGTACCAGGCCTACCTCGACTACCTGCAGCAACTAGGTGAGCAGTTTGGCTTCAGGTGCTCTCGCGATCGACTTCGCATTCCCTCCACTAAGCGAATTTGTCTCATTTGCAATGGTCGAAATTATGGCGGCGGCGGCGGCGGGGACGACAACGACACTGCAAAGAATACGATTGACGCCACACTGGAGGAGGAGGAGGAGGAGAAGATGAAGGCAAAGAGACGAGCCATCGTACAAGAGCGCCTTCAAATTGGCGCCGCTCAGGCCCACAGGCTGCGACCAAAGGAGGAGACGGTAAGAAATTGCACTCGAATTGACGCCGACACTCGACAGCAAATCATTGACCGACTGACCGCTGAACTGTTGCTGCAGTTTAGAAACTCTTCAACATCATCTGAAGAGGAGCAGGCACTGAAGGGACTGACCTTCCAGGAGGCCATCAGCCTGCTGGACACCGCGCTGCGCAGTGAAATGAAGCAGCAGTGCGGCGGTCTGCAGACCTTCATTCGCAACCACCGACACATCTTCACCATAGCGGACAGTCGCATTCAGCTGCAGACCGCCGAGGGGCTGCGCGTGAAGGTGGACCGGGCAAAGAACAAGCCCTGCTGGTTCTTCAGCAACCACCCGAGTGGCTGTCCTCACTCTGCAGAGGACTGCGCCTACAAGCACTGAAAACACCGCTAGCGCTTCTAAACACTCGTCTTGTTTTGTATCACTAAATAGTTTTGTCTTTTTATTATTATTTGCTTTGGTTGTGGTGATGGTAACTGTGGTGGTGGTCTCCTCCTCCTCATCACACCGGTAATATATTAGAAATTGGTCTGGCAGAAGAAGAAAGAAGAGTTTTCGAATTGGCAAATCACTAGATGCGTCGAGTCACCAAAAATCAGTTTAAAGTTTAAAGATGAGTCGGTAACAACGGCGGCAAATCGTGGTGATCATGTCTGAGGTGGTGTTGTTGGTGTTGGTTTGTACAACAAGAAAAAAGAAAAGAAAAGACAGTTGTGTTTGTGTGTGTGGTATACTGAATCAATTTCAAACAGAATCAGGCGACGAGAGAAAGAAAGAAAATCTATGTACAGCGACAGTGAGAAGCAGTGTGCTAGGGGGCAGGGCGAATCGTCGATGTGGCAGAGTATGTACAGCAGGCTGAGTGAAGCTCACGTCGATAAAGAGAAAAGAAATGGGTGTGTTTGGGTGTGTTGGGGACGGGGCGGGAATGATTGAGTGAGGGGTGGCAGAGTCGAGAGGGGGGGGGCTGGGAAGGTAGTAGTCTTCACTACCACCACTCACAGGTCAATTAAGAAAGAGGAAGAAAAGGAAAGAGATGATTGGGTATCGCTTTACGTCGGCGTAACAACTTTGTGGGTGTTCTTTTGTGAAGAGAGATCTGTAGATGATGATGATGATGATGATGATGATGACAACACAATGATGATGATAGTGCTCACAGCTGACTAATGTCCTCGTAGTCGCCCTCCTCCTCGGTGGAGGGTGACGAGGAGCCGGTGGTGGGCGGTATCAGTTCCGGTACATTGCCGGCACGTGCTGCCGTACTGCTGGTGGTGAGGCCACTTCTCTGGGAGCCGCCGGAGCCCCTTCTCGCCGGTGCACTACCGAGAGGTTGACTAGGCAGGGGACGGCGTGAGATCAGCGAGTGCAGTGGCATTGGCTGGTACCGAGGCTCACCACTACCATTTCCACCGTTTCCGCCACCCTCCGACTCGCAGTCAAACTCATCGAGGTCAGAGTAGGCGGGCGGTGGGTGGGCGTTGGTGCGCAGGCGTCGGTGCAGCGGAGCGCTGCCACTGTGTGTCATGGCCTGCATGGCCGCCAGACTGGGCAGTGGGCCGTACCGAGGATTGTTGTTGTTGTGGTTGTTGTTGCTGTTGTTGTTCAGTGTCATCATGTTCTGCGTTTGCCGCATAGGTGTCATCATCAGTGGTGAACCAAAATGTCTACCACCATTATCATCATTGTCATTATGACCGTTCACAAATAGATCTTCTTCGCCTGGCTTACCGCCATAGGCTTGTTGTCCGCCGACGAGTTGGCGTTTTTTGAACTGTTCTTCGGTGGGACGTTCAGCACGAGGTTGATGGGCTTCCCGCCCACCAGCACTCCGCCCCCGCCGTGGGGACCGGCCCCATGGCCGAGGGTACCACCGCCCCCGCCGCCACTGCCTGCCGAGTAGGCGTGGTGGTCCAGCGGCCCGTGGCTGCCATAGAGGGCGCCCATGGAGGGCGGCCCGTGGTGGCCACCACCAACACCGCCGCCGACCAAACGGGTCAGCGTCGGCCCGCCCAGGCCGCCGCCATTGATGCCCAGGCTGTTGGCGAAGTGGTGGGCACTGTGCGGATCGAGGTAGCTGTGCGGGTCGTCGTACGGCGAGCAGATGCCCGGGTCTTCCTTCCGACACCGCCGACTGAAGATGTAACCGATGATGAAGCCAAAGACGAGCGAGGTCACTACCGAGGTGACCACCGCCAGGGCGAAGGTCTCGCTGGAGTAGATGGGCACTGCGCTGGGGCCGCCACCAGAGGCGCTGCCGCCGGCGTCGCTGGACCGGCTAGGGTCGATCACCGAGGCGTCCAGGCCTCCATTGGCACCTCCGCCTCCATTTGCGTAGTCTTCAGCAGCCTCATTGTACAGATTTCCACCCAGTTCAGGCGGAGCATTACCACCTCCTCCGGCTTCAGGCCGACCGTCAGGACAACGCGGGTCCCAGCCCTGTTCAATATTTTGAACGTAATTGTCGCGGTTCCAGTAACGAGACCGTGAGCTGGTGCACTTCTGCTGCTGCAGGTCAAAGCTGCAGTAGGGATCCTGCAGGCGGACGCACTCGCCGCAGGTCTTCGCCTTGCAGTGGTGCAGGCGGACGGAACGAATCGAGTCCGGCGAGATTACCACCAACTTGGCGTCGTAGTACGTGTGGTGGACCAGAATCTGCGTCACCGGGGCGCCGTCGGCGAAGATGACCATCTCCTCGATGATGACCGGCGCGACGGCGCCGTGCATCTGCTGACTGCCCGCCGCCGGCGGGACCACGGCGTTGCTCGCCGCGTTGATCGCCTTCAGGACGCGGCCGTTGTCGGTGCCGATGAAGAGGACGTCGTAGGCCTTTCCGGTGGCGGTCTCAATCTGCGGATCGACGGCGACGGCGGTGAACCGCGCCCTGAGGCTGGTGTGCACCAGCAGCGGCCCGCCGCCAAAGGCGGGCGCCACCGGGTGGTCCATCAGCGGGTGCTCCTTCACAAAGTTGACCGTCATCTCTGGAAGGGACTGCGAGTCGTTGGAGCACTCGCCGGGCCGCGGGGAGGGCACCCGAGCGTTCGGCACGGCCATCCAATTGGAGTCAATGTCCTTCTGGCCCTTGAAGGGCCCCCGGAAGGCCGCCTCAATGTCCTCCATGCGGAAGGCGCACACCGCCGAGCCGCCGATGCTGTTGGGCGCCGTGGTGAAGACGGCGTAGATCAGCTGCTCGTTCCGGCCGCCGTAGTTGCCCTTGATGATCTCCGAGGTGGCCTCTGGTGGTGGTGATGATGTGGGAAAAGGAAAAACAGTAGTCAGTCTCCTATTGCTAAACCATTCTGCCAGACTTACGAATCTCATTAAAGTAGAAGGGAAATTCATCATTGCTTCCTATGGCGCACTGTAGTCTCGCTTTGCTGTAGTGGGGAAGTGGTGGTGGTGGGAATGGAATGGAAGAAAATGAGATTCAGATTTAGAATGTGATGCATGTTGTACAAGAGAGCGAGCAAGAAAGAGAGAGTGAAGAAATTATGCGAATCAATCAAACTCTTTCTCTCTTTCCCTTCCTTCTTACCTGAATGATGTCCAACGGGCACTAATGGTGGCGGCGGCGGTAATGGAAGCGGCAGAAGATTGGGAAAATGAAATCGAGTAATGGGTTAGTGAAATGGAAATAAAATGAGAACAAGAACATTAGCAATAATAGAGAGAACTCACCGAAACTTGTGCGGACCACCGTTGTCGCGGGCACAGACGCGGGCCACTCTGGAGAAGGTCGCCTTGCCGCAGCTGCTGTACTCGACGGCCGATTCACGGAAGAAGAAGTAGACGTGGCTACTGTGGGGAAAGGAACTGACGAAACTCGGTGCTGTGGTGGTGATGGTGGTAATGGAAATGTAATTCAAACGAAAGAGATCGATTAGAGACTGAATGAATGGAATGGAATTGAACGAGCACTCGTGCACTGAGGCACTGAAACTGAATGAATGAAGGTCACGTCAAGCACCATACCGTTTAGGTGTTTGGGATTAAACTGCTCCGTTCGCAGTGGCTCTCGGTAGATGAGCGGATCGGCGCCTGTGAAGCCGGCCACCGTCGCCACGTAAAGGTTCTTTTCTGTAGTTGTTCCAGAAAAAAATGAAAAGAAAAAGAAAAAAGAAAAGGGGCGTGTTAGCTTTGCAAATGTATGTCAACAACCACCACAACAACAGCAGAAAAGTAGTTCAACAAAGAAGGCAGAACCAAAGTAATTAAATTACTAGGAAGGGGAAACCGTTAGTAGTACCTGTACGTTCACGAATAGATCCTGAAGTGTGGTAGTAGTGAAAGCGCATTGGATGGTGTTAGTAGTAGAGAGAGAGTAGCAGTGTAAAGAAAGAAGTTCAGGAAAAAAGAAGTTGATGAGGAAGAGAAGAGGAAAGAAAAGAGAAAAAGAAGTAGTTGGTTAGTGGAAAAAGTATTTAGAATGATTCTATTGACTGAAGTTTTTTGGTTGTCCAACGGAGTTTGTTAGTTCAGAGCAGTAGTTGCAACTGTAAAGACGTCATCATCAAGTAGGGTGAAAAATTACCGTAAAATGTGGCAGTTGAGGGGTAGGTGGGATCGTACGGACAGAGCGCCTCGCCGCTCTTCTCCCCATGGACGAGGTAGTTGTGCATCTAAAGGGAAAGAAAGAGGTGTCAAAGTGTCATTGAGTAAGTGCCTGCTGCTGCTATGTGCTCCTCCGTCTCGCTTCAGCTCATCCCAACTGAAGAGGCCCAAAAGAGGAACATTGTTGTTCTGGTCCTGTCACTTACCGGTCCGTACTGGTAGGTGCGACACTTGGGCTTGAAGGCATTTGTCCCGCAGACGAGCAGCCGCTCGTCGCCCAGCTTCGCCAGCACCTTGATGTAGTTCTGGCAGACCTCCTCCGACTTGCCCTTGTACTTGCACATGCGAGTGTCATCCTCGCTGCTCGACCAGTCGAGGCGCTGTTGTTTTTGGTTTGGTTTAAAAAAGAAAGAAAGAGAATAAAAGACGTGATGGTGATTAGTCAGAGTGAGTGAGTGAGTGAAACAGAGAATGGTCGAGTGAGTGCTGATGTGAGAGAGAGAGAGTAGAGAATAGGAGAGGTGCATTAGGTTCGCTGTGCTTTGCGACAACAGCATCAGCATCCAAACCCACACACAGTGCTTGCCAGCGATTAATCATGATTCATGGGAAAATAGGCAGACAGACAGACTGAGCTGCTGAGTTGACTTAGATGGCTGAGATAGTGGCTGGGACAGAGAGAATGAATGAGAGTGAATGAGAGTGAAATGCTATGACTCAGCCAGTTCTCGCTGGCTGGCCGGCCGGCCGGTCACGTTGTCGGGCACAGTAGTGTGCAGAAGTGTACTCGAAAACAGTAGTAGTCGCCGGGCAGTGTGTGTGCTGTAGCTGGCTCAATCTGTCCCCGGTACTACTTTTCACTCTCTCTCTCTCTTTTTCTTTCTAAATTGCCCAGGCGTACTACTACTAGTTCCTCTATTGGTACTAAATGGGCCTGCGGTGCACGTGCTGACTCATGTCGCAGTCAGTCAGTCCCGGTCTGCTCGGGTCCCGAGCACGTGGCGCACACTGCTGCTGCTGCTGCTGGGAACACTGCTGCTAGTAGAGCTGCAGAGAGTACGTGTGATGCAAAATGAGGCATAAATCATGGTGCCCGAGAGAGAGAG